CAAGAGAATTTTTTTATTTGCTTCTTTTAGTTCTTCTAGATTTTTTTTACTACATACTCCAAAATAAGTCGATTTGACAAGTTAAAAAAAATTAACTAAATTTACTAATTTATTGATTTGGCTATTAAATCAACCCGAATTACACTAGTTTTTATGGGGTTAATTGCATTTACATTTATATATCTTTATTGAACAATCATATCTTTCGATTTACGATCCAATCAATCATCAGCAAGTTTGAACGAATTTTAAAACATTGACTTGAACTATTCCCATTCTAAATTTCACAATTTTAATTAATTTACAATCCTAATATTCTCCTACAAGTTAAATCACATTAATTTTTGTAGACAAAAGATTAAGTGAAATTATTTTTATAAAGAAAAAAGTTAATAAGTGTAATTATTTTTATAAAGAAAAAGGTTAATCTTTATTAATTAATTTGACAAAACTATACCAAGGTTACAATTTTTATAGAGTAAGTGATGTAGTGTTGTGCAGTCAATGTGAATAATCTAGTGAGCAAGTTGCATCAAAGGTATTAATTAGGTGATGTTTCTACATGCTTAATTGGTAAGCTCTTGACAATGACATATATATGTGATGGTGGGAGCTGTATGGGAGAGTTCAGAAGATTTTGGTGGAAATATGATTTGATAAATTTATAAAATAACAAAAATACATTATATTAAAAAAAATTGTCTAAAATAATTTTAATAAACATATATTAATAAACTATTAATAACTAATCAAATATAAATTAGAATTATCATAATACTTTTTGAAACATTCTTTAACATTGATAACGAATATAAAAAATTCGTTGTCTCAAAAAAATCAACACAAATATAAAATAAAACGTGATGCTAATATTCTTTTAAGAATATATGACAATTAAGATTCATAAGAGAAATAGTTGCTAATAAAACTCAAATACTTTTTTATAGTTTTTTTTCAAAACAAATTTAATTTTTTTATACTTAATTTTTTTTAATAAAGACAATATATTAAATAAAACCGGAAAAAAAAAAAGGATGAAGAACATAAAATCCAACTCATCAAAAAGTTAGCAAAAATAATTCTTGAACATGCTTAATCTATCTTTTTTAAAAAATTCAAAAACACAAATAGGAAGGAAATCCTACCGAATGTTATAATCAACAAAAAAAAAATTTACCAGCTAATTTATCTACACGTACATTTTTCTCTATAGAAATATGAGATATGTTAAATCTAAAAAATATATAACGCTTAAAGTATTGTTTTATTTAATTAAAATATGTCAAGGGACAATCTTCACATTAAATATGCATGAATGGCGAACATTGAGTCAGTTTTAAGCCAAAAAAATTATAATTCTTCATGTTAGCATATCCAATAACAAGCGTGATTTCATATAGTTCAACTTGAAAGGATGTGCAAACTGCAATTTTAGCTGACAAAGCTCCCAAGAATGTTCCTAAGTTATTCCTATATATATCACTACAAGTTGATATTTCAGAATTTCCTCTTGAAACTCCATTTGTGTTGCACTTAATCCAATTGTTGAGAGCTTGAACTTCTACCAACAAGTTTGAATAAGCTTTCAAAATTAATTTTATTAATATTCATGTCAAACAATTGTTTTATCCAACACTACAAAAGTAAGGTGTATCTGTATCTAAGAAATTAGTGATCTACAATTTTTATGTCATGATTGTAGAGACAACACCTTTGAACCATATGCATTCATCTTTGAATTAGACTTTCTTCTATGCAAATGCATTAGCTTCCAAGTTACCAATGACTTAACATGTAATATGTGGCATATGTGGCGATGCCGTATGAATTTTGTCTAAGGTGGCTCAATATGAACCCTCTTGATACAATCGTAAGCATTTTTGAAAGATAAATCACCATTATAGATTATATCTAAATGAGATTATCAGTTATAGTATTATCAAATGACAAGTTAACCTTTAAAATATATTCAACAATTTGAAGAGACAAAACGGATAAGTCGTGAGGAATGTTTCAATTGATGTTTTGGATGATTGAATTGAATTTAACAGTTTGCATAACTTAAATATCCTTTCACAAGATTAGATACAAATCTTTAATTATGTATTCCAACCAATTGTCATCACATAAATCATTGTTCCTCTCATTACCAATTTTTTATTTACTATGTTCCTCTAAAAAAGAAAAAGAGATGCTTAATGACAGACTACTTTGAAGAAGAAATATGATACATTAAAGAAATGCGTTAAACTCTCTAATTTCAAATTAGCCATTAAATCAATCATAGCATAAAATTGTCAAATATAATCATTGTCACAAATATGATTTTTTTTTTAAAGATATGTTTTATTTTTAAGTAATATATACTTGATTTTGTCAATCCTATGTAGTTGTAGAAATATTAGAGAATACAGGTTCAAAGTTGCGATATTATACTTAATAGATAAAATTTTAATCATTATATAACTGGAAAAAAAATTGCTACAAATATATTTTTATTAAGTAATACCATTTAGAGCTTTTAATTTTTATATTCATATTATAAGGCATTTTTATATTCATATTATAAGGCGGTTCCAATATTTTTCCTTCCTCTTTTCTATGTAACTGGTTCCAATATTTTTCCTATTCTATTCTATGTAATTAGTGACTGTTGTTACAACTTATGAGAATTTAGAGCTAGGAGAATATTTTACCTTTCAAATTTTCAAATGTTCTCATAAGCAACAAAATTGACACACATAACTAATTACCCATCACTATAATGTTAGTTATCTCAAATAGTAATTAGGCGATCATCTACATGCTCATCATGTTTGTCTGAATTCCCAATCTCGACGTAACTTTAGAGCTTTGGTAGCTTTTTCAATGTTATTGTAATCCTACTGTCAAGGATGCGGGCAGAAATGGGTTGTCCTTTTGTTTCGAAACTCAACATCTTTTTGATATCTTTCTCTCCCCCGAGGACAACAAGCTTTTAAAAGAGTATAGCTACCTCTTCCCCCCTTTCTAGATTAGAGGAAAGAGTCATGTGCCTATGATGTCATTGGTGACTTGTTGATGTGTTACCACCTAGATTGATATTGACTCAGGAATGACGGAGTGATTCTTTTGCAATGCCCCTTCTTGTGCATTATTGTTCTTTAGATTGACGTATTGTAAGCTCTCTTCAATTCTACATATTCTTTCTTCCATGGTCTAAGAGCTTTGTTGCTTCACTAAGATTAGCCTACAACAGTTGAAAATCAGGAAGCATCTTTTCTCTTGGTATCACAAGCAATTGTGGAGGTCTGAGCGAAAGTTTATCCGAGTGAAATTTTAGAGTCAAACTGAGGAATGGAAGAGGTTGAAAGGCTCTCTGTTTGGCCCTCGGTTAGATAGAATCTTATTGTAAATGAATGCATGGAGAAGCCATATGGACTTGATCATTCGTCCCTTGAGGAAGAGGTGGAAGATTTATGGCAGTCTCAGCTGCGACGACACCTTGCCATTGGATGGTGGAGTGAGTAGCTTTGCATGATGTTGTAATTGATAGATTTGACTGCACATTTGAAGGAAAAGAAGTTGAAATTCGAGAGAGGTGATCAAGAAATGGAGATTTGCACTTCGAGTGAAGGAAATATGGATTTTTGACGGAGGAAATTCAATTGAATCAAGAGAGTTTTGATTATGAAAAATTGTAGGAATCAAAAGACAATTCTCAAAGACAGCGTCAATGATTTGTAGTGGAACTAGAGTCAATTGCAAAGTGAAAGGCAAAGCTTGTTGTGGTGACTTTGAGTTTTTGATGCAATGGAGATGGGGCTGACCTGCAAGGTTAGTACTCAAATGCTCAAATTAGTATGAGGATGAAAATGGTGTTTGAATGAGAGAGAAATTGAATACTTGAGAAATAACATGCTTCTTTTTTTAAATAGAAAAACTTGTTAGCCCCTGAATATGTGTAACAAGGAGTGGATTGTGGTCAACCATTAGATTGATATGAACTGTTGATGAGATACTGCAAAGGATTACCAACCTAATAGAGAAAAAAATTTACCTGTTCTACACTCAAGATTTTACATTTTTATTATTAGACTTTTGTTTTTTTGAGTCTTGTGGTCGGCCTGAACCACTAAATTATCTAAATAATTAGAATAATCAGTGTCGAAAAATGTTTAACTTGCATATTCCATAAAATTTTTTTCTTCCATACAATTCCAAAGAAGCAATGAAGAAAGAGATAATCTATATAATTTTGAATTTGACATTAAGAAATTAATTAGATGCCTCTTTTGGTCAAACTATTATCTATCACACAATTATATTATGAAACAATCTTCCACCGAGAAGGAAGAGCAAGAAATATAAACACATAATTCAACCATACCCTAAGTTAACCTTTATTTAACATTAGTAACTGTATAGTATACTTAATTAACTATAACAACAGATCAATCCAAAATCACTTAATCCAATGAAAATTATGAATCAAGCTCACTTGTGAAGCACCATTTGGTAATTTTACTCGCTTTTATTTAGATAACCGTTCTTTATTATTTAAGGATATGTTTTGTTTCTAAACAATACTATATATAGGGCGGTTCAAATATTTTTGCTATTCTATTCTATGTAACCAGTAATGGCTGCTACAATTTATGAGATTTTGTACTTTCAAAATTTCCAATGTTCTCAGAAGCAAGAAAATTGATACACGTAACCAATTACTCATCACTCCAATGTTAGATATCTCAAAAATATCTTATAATATCAAAACATTGACATCACTTTTTACACTACTTATCTATTGAGACATATGAAAAATAGTTATAAAAAATAAGCATTTTATCTTGATAAATTAAAAAATGAGGTGTAAAGATTGCTATATTATCCTTATATCCAAAAAATCATAACTGAAATACTATAATATCAGTGAGATTCAGTGGTTATAAATATGTACTTATACACTCCTATTGAGGCAACACATCCACATCATTCTTAGTTATCTTCTCAATTTGAATATGGCTATTATCACTAACTGGTTTTCTGGAACAATTGAAGCTCTTTCTTTCAAGGTTTTTACTGGCATCGCCTGTTCTGTATATGAGAAATTCATGAAAATTATGGAGAGAATTTTCTTAGCTGTATTCATTTTTGTTCTAGCACTAGGTATGGTACATTTTGCTTCTCTTGTTTATATTATGTATACGTTATTGTAAAAAGTGAGTGAAAATGTTGTGTTATGAACTTTAGGAGGTTCAATAATAGGAACAATAGGAGGAGCTATCAAAGGACAAACCACAGAAACTGGTTTTCTTGATGGAGCTTGCAGAGGAGCAATTGCAGGAGCCATTGCTGCTATAGAGTTTGTGAGTTTTGCTTCTGTTGGTCAGTCTTTTTCCAAGGTAAGATTTCTCATAGCACCAATCTTTCTGTGTCTAACACTGATACTAATACGACACTAACATATATGTGGATAGTGTTCAGAGTCTCGGTATCAATATCGTGTATGATATTCTTAAAGAATTTGGTGTTTGAAAATGCAGGTAGCTTTGTTGACAAGTTTATTAAATGGAAAAGTGTTTATGGAATGGATATGTCCAACTGTTGCACAAGCTTATGTAAGTTTTAGTATTAAATGTTGAATTACAATATTAGTCATGGCTTATATTTGGTAAAAAAAAGAGTTAAAATGTTTTCAGATAAATTCAGTAGAAGCAACATATGGAGGAGGAGTGGTTTCAGATATTTATGACACCATGGGAGTTACAGGGATGTCACAAACTTGTATTATCAAACTTCCATTTCATAAATTCAGCTCCTCCAACAAAATGATGAAATTATACAATGATTCATGCTGCTCCATTTTCTTCCAGGTCAGAAACAAAATCTCTATACATCTCAAAAACTTTCATATAAATTATTGATATATCATTTAGAGAGTTGAAAAGTTATCAAATTGATTTTGCAGGATTTAGAGGATGGAGAATTGGTGAGAGTACTTCCAAAATGCAGTCATGTTTATCATTTAGAATGCATTGACAAGTGGTTACTACAACAAGGATCGTGTCCTATTTGTAGAACTTACATTCTTCAATAGTTGTGTATTTCTTGTTAAATCTCTTTTTTTTTTGTGTTTCAAAAGAGTAGCTATAATTGTAAGCTTTTAACTTTATTGTATGGTGGCGTTGAATCATTTGAGAAGTAAACATGCACCAAGCAATTATCCAACATTAATTTTGTATGTATCCTTTAGAAAAAGATCACTCTATAACTTTGTTTTAATGGTAACTTTGCATGTGACTTTATGTTGTCCAGAACTATATTTCTGACTAGACAAACTTTGTAATAGGGTGAAATATCATAACCATTATCATCATATAATTGTTTGTTGTACTAAATAAGTTATGATTTGAATTTTTATATAAATAATACATTATAGCAAGTAAAATGTTTTTACTAATAAGTCCAACTCCTACTATCAAATCCTCATCTTTAATCTTGGAACTTTGTAACTGTTGCAAAATTATTTATAAATTAAATATATCGAGACTAGAATTTTAAACAATTTTTTATAGTATTTTTAAATTATTTTATAATTTTTGCGCTGGAGTTTTTAGAATAATTTGACTTATACTCAAATTTGTATAAGACAAATGAAAACTCGAATATATAGATGATGAAATATAGAATTTTATGTGAAGATAATAAACTTTTTTAATGTATTTTTCTAAATCTCGAAGTCTCAATTTATAAGTCAAAGTAGTATTGTTTCAAAAATATATGACTCTTGATAAAACACATTATGTAGAAAATTTTTCTTTACTGCAACACTTCAGAAGTGTTGTCTATTCTGACTATAACACTTCTCGAAGCGTTGCTTATTTTCGAATTCAAAAAACAACTTTCACTTATAAATTTTTTTGTCATTTTGTAACATACTTATGGTCATTAATTATTATTAATTACAATAATTCCCACTTTGTCATTAATAATGAACAAGTATGGAAGAAAGTTGGGAAAAAAGTAGAAGCACTAGAGAGATTTTAACAATTAGAGAATGTGAGATGGATGATGAGTTGCAAGATGTCTAAAAAACATTAATTAGTGTTGTTTTGGACTGGGCATGTAGCTGACTCAGCGTCGAACACAACCCAATCCTACGTCGAGGACGGTCCAGAGTATTGGCCCAACCCGTTGGACCAGTGGAGAGCACATTTCTCATGTGCTCTTCACCCGATGACACGTCACCAACTGACTCGCACGCCTCGTGGAACCTTTTTGTCATTCGCAATGGGCAAGTCCATCCATTAACCAGGGAACGCATAGCTATTGGCCCAGGACGATGAGCACGAGATGTTCATCCCTGCATCCACGTAAAAATCCTGGCAGTCATCTGTTGTATGCTTGAACATTCAGCCTATAACGGAGACCATTGGCCTAGCGTTGGGGACTCCCTATAAAAACCCTCATCTGCAAGAGGGTCGGGTATTCTATGGGTTACCCTTTCTTGCTCACCTCTTCACCCAAACTGACTTAAGCATCGAAGTGTCTACAAGTGCCCCCTTTTCTCCGTCGATCGTCAAGACCGCGGGTGTGTTGCTGGCCACCTATTCCGATCGACATGTTAGATCAGTGGCGTCGTCTATGGGAGCCTTGTTTCCCCATCTTTTCTTTCCTTGAAACCAAGATATCAAAATAGAAAACATCAAAAACCAATCATGGTCGGTCAACACGACGACAACAGAGGTCACGAAACCATCCTCTCTCATTTCCATGACGCCGACAACAACAACGATATGCCAATTCTAGAGGAAGACTCCAACGAGGAGAGACGGGAACACCGCCTCCCCCTCCTCCAACGATGCGGCCGATAATGACGTCCAGTACATCGAGACTTGCAAAGTCCAAAAAGCTCTAGAGAAGACGCCGAAGAAATTCCAACCAATCCCGGTGTCGGCCAACACCAACCCGACCATGGCGGCCCTTAACCGGATCAACACGCTGATCTACCAACAAAATGAGAGGATCAGAGCATTGGAGAAAGTCAGTCGTCCACGTTCTCCTTCATGGAGACACCAACGGTATAAGTCCCAAAGCCTATCGCGGCAACAACCAGGCCACCGCCCACAGTTGGAGAGGCCACAGCCCCTGAAGTGCAATCGTACTCCTCTCCGCAAGGACCGACGTTGCCCAATTGTCAAGAAAAACAAAGCCAGTGGACGGCCAGATAACTGTCGTTCTCCCCCGCGCAAATTAAAGGGTCGACCAAAAGGCTCACCGCCATACCGCGATAATAGCCCTCGGCGAGAGAAGTACGACTACTCTCTGTCGCGCTCTCCTTCCCATCGAGCTGGAAAAACCTCTGAACATGGGGACATACAATGGAACAATATATCCCGACGAGTACGTTGAAAACATCGATGCGTTGCTCGATTATCGCGGTGTTAGAGACGCATCAAGTGTAGATTGTTCCCCACAACCTTGAGCAAGGTTGCCATAACATGGTACAAGAGCCTCACTGAAGAGTCCATCACTTCTTGGAGGGACCTAGGAAGACAGTTTTCGAGGCACTTCACCGCTTCTCATCGCCACCCAAAGTCATAGGTGACGCTCTAACCAATCATGCAGGGGGAAAATGAATCCATCTGAGCCTATATTGAGAGGTTCAATCGAGAAGTTATGCAGGTCTCTACGATCGACGACATGAAGAAGCATTTGCTCGAGCGGGGACTGCGCCCTTACAGTGACTTCGCCAAGGTCATCGGCATCGAAACACCCGCATCATTGGATGCATGTTAGACACCAAATTTCACTTATTTGATCTATCAAATGTTGACATATTTCACTCATTTTTGTCAAGAAAGTGTTGAAAACCACCCTTTCTTTGGTTGGTTTGCAATATTATGAGAATATCTCTTGGTACCTTTGATTTGTGTGTTATTGTGTAGGAATTAGGCACAAAACAAGTGAATAGTAAGACACACAAAAATGGGCATGTTGTCAAGTTCGCTAGGCGAAGGGGTAGTGAAGCTCTAGCGAAGAAAACGACCCTAAGCTCGCTAGGCGAGCAGGTAGCGAACACTCCCAGACTTGGGCAGAACCAAAAGGACCATAAATTCGCTAGGAGAAATCAGAGCGAAGGTTTCGCTAGGCGAACATGACAGATCCTGAATGTTCTATTTAAGTATTTTTCTTGCTTTTTAGGTCAGAATTCCATTATTGTAACATTGGATACATCAGAACTTATCTCTCTTCGTTTATTTTAGAGAGAGAAACACAAAACCCTAAGAGGGAGGAGGTAAGATCTTTGATCTCTTGTTGGGGTTTGAATGTAATATTTTGATACCTTATGTATTTCATCTAATTTATGTTTGTGAACTAGTTTGGATTCTCTACTGATTTATTATCTTTGATTATATATTTGTGGGTCTTGACAAAACCTTTTCACATCTTTGATCTCAGAGTTTCTTCTATCAATGAACAAACTTTTGACATGGCTTTGTATGTTGGCGTTCATTGTATCCTCTTTGGTATTGTATTGATTAAGTAGCATGGGTAGCATGAGTAGGATCAATGTGATATTATGCGGGTGTGTGATAATAGTGATGAAGAATGATGTTCATAACCATTTGGCAGATTAGATGAATACATGTAAAAAGGGTTAAGCGTGTGTACGTATTCTGATCATTGTGTTTTATATGAAACAATCCTTTATCCGATATGGGTGTCGTCTTTGCTTACCTGTTTATCTTTGATTTGAACCGTGATAGAGATACAGTCTTCAGATCTGGATCTAGGATGATTATCTGTTAGGTCCTAAATGCTAGAGATAGATTTAGGCTTAGCATTTGCTTGAGTATCAGATCTTAATGCTCTGTGTTGTGTTTTTGAGGGATGAGAGATCACCAATGAGACAACACGGTTGTTCTCTCGACACTGTGTTAGAGATAAACTTTGTTGTGGGTGATACGTAAGGGTATCAAACGAATGATTGTGTTGTGTTTAATTAGATCAGAAGAATGCATATGTTATCAATTGATGAGATCCAATTCCAAAAAGGCTCCGTTTATATTTCAGTCTTTATTTTATATTTTCTGTTTTTATTTATGGTTCCTTGAAATTTTTAAACCAAAACTTTTGAACAATAAGCTTAGAAATGTAGAGATCGTTGAACGGTGTTCATATCGCACTAATCTCTGTGGAGACGACAAAACTGGGTACTTAATATTTTTTGCTTGCTGCTTTACCGCATCAACAATGCATTCCTCCTCAAGACCCATGCCTATATCTAGTACGAGGAGAAAGAAGCTGCCAACAATGCTCGAGACTCGCGGCATCAGGAAAACTCCAGAGTTTCGAGGAACGATGACCTCATGGCGCCCTGCCGAGGAGGAGAGAAGAGGAAAAAGAATAAGCCTCGTGAGTCTCGAGAGTACAAAGGACCTTCCGGCCATTTTGTCGAGTACATACCATTGACCGCCTCTCGCAATCGTATTTTATCCGAGTGCGCAAACTTAGAATTTCTCCAGGCTGGAGTCTGTTTCCTAGGAAAACACCTCTTAAGCTTACCGCGGACAAGACTAAGTATTTCCGCTTTCACACGAGCCACGGGCACGTCATTGAAGAGTGCATACACCTCAAGGATGTGATTGAAATTCTCATCAGAGACGGGCACCTGAAACAATACACCAAGAGAAGAGAGGCTCCTTGGCAGGATGCCCGGGAAGCGAAGAAGGTCAAGGAGGAGAAGCCACCCTCTAACGACACCGCCAACCTACAGATCGCCATGTCCATATCCCGGCTTGAGGACTTCTACGTCCTCGACGGGGCCGAAAACCCCTTTCATTTGGCAGCGGACAACACATGGAAAACCTTCCCTTTCGCCATGGTCATATCTGGTGGAATATTCAACAAAGTCACTGTAGGGTCGGTGAAAAGGAAGTTCGAGCAACTCATCGATACGAGCTCGAGCTAAAACTCCACTCTCGACAAATGTCGGGGAAGCTCAGTCCCTATCACATTCTATCGAGAGGAGCTCCTCGGTGGATCCCCCAACTTCAACATCCCTTTGCTCGTGAGAACACGAATGGAGAACTTTGACGTTCGTCGCATTCTTGTCGACCAGGTAAGCTCGGTCGACATCATGTACTCTAAGTTGTTCCTGACTGTAACACCCCAAAATTTGCCCTTTTATTTTTCACCGTAACTGGCATATGTTTCTTTCATTTTGCATCATTCATCATACCATGGTATTGGTGCTTGAGACATGGGATCAAGTTTTTTCTGTGGCTCAAGGCTTCCCTTTATTCTAAGATTGTAAGCAGCAAGCATCAGAGGCTTCAACATTTATTTTGCTTAGCGATCGGGCACCAAATTATATTTTTCAGCCAGATATTTTGAGTACATGAGATAATTCACAGTTTATTTCAGGCATTATGCAAGTGCAATATCAAATGACAAGTTTCAGAGACCAAACTATGCTCAAAATAGGTGGCAACAGGCGATTCTCAAAGTTTCACTCTTTAAGGCGCCAAAAAATTCAAATTTTGAAGGTGTTAACCGATTAACCATTTGCTAGGAAAATTTTCTTAATCGGTTAACCAGTGTAAATTTTGCCCAGATGCTTCATTTTTCAGCGCTACAGAATTTGTTACCCATTCCAATCACTTGATTGTATTTTCACACCAGTAGAAAGATCTAGAAATAGTTCAAAATTTGATTCATCGTTCAAAATTAATTTCCCTTCCCTCCAAAATCAAACATTTTCATTCCTAATTCCACTCCTAATTCCCATTCCTAATGCTAACCCACACTCTAAATTACATTTAATTCCAAACCTAAACCATACTCAAATAAATTTGCTCCAAACCTCTCATTCATACACTTATATTTTTCTACACATCTCACTCCGATTCTCTTAACTTTTCTCTCATTTTCACTCTCATTCCAAAACCCTCACAAAAGCTCCATAGCCAAAAGCTTCACAAATTGTGCATTGCAATTTGTGAAATCTTGAGCTAACCTCCATTGCACCATCATCCTTGGTTCAATTCTAAATTTGTAACTCATTTGGATCTTGATCAAGTTTTTGGAATCACTTCTTGAAGAGTTTTTACTTATTTGTAGATTATTGCTTAGATCTTCAAGTTTTCTTGCTAAAGCTTCATAGATCTTTGGTTTTGGTGCTTGGATTCATCAATTTCAGTTTAATAACACTCACAAAGCAATTCTCAACTTTGTAAGTTGGTAATTTCTAGATCTAGCTTTGATTTTGCTTAATCTTGTATTTCACAATGTAGATCTATTGATTCTTGATGATAATTAGTCTGTTGATTGTTTTGATTATTGATTTTGGTTTTTGTTGGATCCAATTGATGTTTGATTGTTGTGATTTGATATAATTTTTCGTGCACAATTGTTTGTTTAAGCATGTATATGAATGGATAATTGATTAACTGCTGAAAAGTGCTCTTAATTGCTGGTTTTCTACTTTTGTTATAGTGTTAATCAGTTAACACCAGGGCGCTAATCAATTAACACTGTTTTGCTGCATATTTTCTGCTACTTTTCACATTGTTAATCGGCTAACACCACGAGGTTAACTGATTAACACTATTGCAGAATGTGTTTTTCTTGCTTTTTCAAGCTTGTTTGGATTCCTTTCCATCCTTAAACCTCGTGGATTGATATGATGCATATTTACGAACTGTTTTTGAGCTATTTCACCATACTTGATAGCACGCTTGTGATTCTTTGACACACAACTTGTAATTTTAAATGATACATATCTATGATTTTTGTGTTGCATTCTTGGTGTGATGATCATGTTGCATAATTGTTTGTATAATGGTGATTGTTGATTCTTGATGTTTATCTTGCTGGATTTGTGTCACATGCTTATGTTTATTTTCGATTTCGTAAATGCATGATTGTTCGAAATGATTAATGGGTGTTGAATATGTATGATGTTCTTGATGAATGTTTAGTTGCGCAATCTTGTTAAGCTTGTTTGTGCTTAATTGTTAATACATGTTCACATTTGATCCTCACCATGTCATATGCTTTTGTTGAAGTGTTAATGCATACATGTTGCCTAAGCTTTTACAACTGTTGTCCTGATTTTGGCATGTCGTTAATTGCGTCCATTCTGCCTGCTGCATTTTACACCTGTTATGTGCTGAAAACATGAGTTGTTAAATGTTGTTTTGCTTATTTGTTGGGTTTTTACTGTTGTTCTAAAGCTGAAGTGTTGTTGTTGCTGCTGCTTTTGGTTTGTTTTCCTTGTTTTGGTTTGTTCTTGCATGCTCCCTTAGGGCCTCCTAGTCCAACTTAATTTTTTATTAAGCTTGGAGTAGATAGACATTAGGAATTAATCCATGCATGATAACATTAGGCCAGTCCCTTTATAACCTCAACCTTAGGTCCACATGTGCATGCTAACATTAGGATAGAGTTTACTCTCGCATCTCGACCTTAGGGCCATTTTGCATGACAATGTTAGGACTGAGTTTTCCCTTAGACCTTTCATGTGCCTTGCTCTCCTCTTTCTCAAAACAGCATCAAAACACTTAATAAATGCGATGAATATTGTGCGTCACGAGCCTTAAGTATATGGGAAATGATGAGTGAGGAGTCTCTCCTTATTTCGTCTAGAGTGTTTGGCATACATCCCGTTTGAGAACAATTATGCAACGCATTCGCTCTTATATCATAGACTTTAGTGCAATATAAATCTCAAACCAATTCAATTCACTTCTCTAAAACTCACAAACAAATTCAAATCTTTTTCATCTTTGTTGGTTTTGAATATCCAGAATTAAGCTCCTTCATCATTATAGTTTCATTTTCTAATACAAACAAAATTTTAAACATTTATTTAGGTCAAAATTCTAAAATAGCTAATAAAGAATATGATTAATGTGTATTGTGATTATATAAAAGAAAATGTTTATTAATAAGAAAATCCGAAAACAAGAAATGCAAGAATAAATCACAATCGTTTATTATTATTACTATATTATGATGTTTATTAAAAAGGAAATTAAATTTAAAATTAATTTAAAATTCACGTATAAAATAGTAACTTATGATGTTTATTAAAAAAGAAATTAAATTTAAAATTAATTTAAAATTCACGTATAAAATAGTAACACCGTGTGTAGGGCTGGCAATGAACCGAACCAGCTCGAAAATAGTTCGGAATTCGATTCGACAATTAAATCGTTGAACTAAGTTCATGAACCAAATGAGTTGAGTATGAGCGAAAAATTAAGTTCGTTAACTAAATGAGCTGAACTTGAACTATACATAGTTCGACTCGTTAGGTTCATGAGTCAACTCGATTACATATGTGAAGAATTATACTGTCTTTAAGATTAGGTTTAAATATTTACTCCAAATCTTAGACAAATTTAATCTTCAATTTAGTAGTTTTTGAATTAGACTCTCAAATATATCTCTTGAAAGTTGTGTAGGTTTTGAATTAGTAGATTTCGAAGATAAAGTTAAATTTCAATATGATAACTTGTATTTTATTTTAATATTTTATTTTAAAAATATATATTTATTTAAAATGTCAAATATACTAAAAAAATATATATATGTAAAAGAAAATAGTTTTTAAGTTCGTGAATCATGTAGCTGAATCTAATGAGATGAACCTAACGAGTTGAATCGAACTGTTCGTGAACTTATAACGAGTCGAGTTTGAGCTTAAAAAAAAGTTCGTGTTGAACTCAAACTCGAACAATTCTTAACGAGTCGAGCCGAGCTGAGGTGAGTTCGACTCGACTCGCCTCATTTCCAGCCCTAACCGTGTGCATTCTTATATTTTTTCTTCAAATTATTTCTTATTAAATAGAAGACTCAACTTCACCCACCCAAATCTAACTGTTAGGTATTTAGAGGACAACAAGAAAATAAAATATATTCCAGAGAGCAAAGATGTATTTTAAAATTTTTTATTCTTGTAAATATATTTTATTTTATTTTGTAATTGCTCTAAACATTGTCAAATTTAATTAAATATTAAGTTCAAAGAAGTCTATTAAAAAATATTTTGATGACTAATAATTAAAAAAACTATATATTAATAGAAATGAAAGTTTTATTTAATTCAAGAGAATAATTATTCCACTATTAAATATGTATTTTTAATTTATTTCAATCACCTAGTAACTATTAATGATATTTAAGAAAAAACTTGGGTAAAACAAATAATTAAAAAGAAAAAAGAAAAAGAAAAGAAGAAGCAAATATAAGAGTCTCGTAGTCGTAGGTAAAACTGTTGAGTGAGAGACTCAGAAATGACGTCGTTTTGTGGCGCGGCGAGCTTCCAGATTCCGGTGATCAGCGGCGGCGTACACCGCAACGGCACTTTATTGAGCACCGGAAGAGAGTTTTTGTCAGTTACCGGCGGCATATCCTTCTGCAATACATTGAAGCGGTCTTTGTCGTTCACATGCTTGAGCGTTTCTTCTGATGCTAGTAAGTATCCACCATTTTTCCTCTTCAATGCTTCTTCCATGAAACCCTAGAAATTTACATTTTCAAATAAATACAAAATTTGTAATAGTGTTGATAGTTGTGTTTGTTGGCTTTGATTGATTGTAGGAATTGGAGTTAAAGAAGCTGTTGAAACGGAAAAAGCACCTGCAGCATTGGGACCATATTCCCAAGCAAACAAAGTCAATAACCTTCTTTTTGTATCCGGTGTTCTTGGCCTTATTCCTGAGGTTCGCTTTTTTTTAGATTCATTGAATAATTGACGTATCTAGTCTATATTTAATTTAAATACATTGGTTATTAAATGAATTTAAAATGTAAATTTTTTATTATGATAAGTATGGAGGGAGTATAACTAAATGTAGTCATATGTCTGGGTGGTGTCCGACACTAACACAAATCAGACACCGGACATGCCTGAAGGAAGTTAATTTGTTTTTGCTCTTCAATGCAGACAGGGAAGTTCGTCTCTGATAATGTTGATGATCAAACTGAACAGGTATGGCAGAATCGGAGATTTCTCATTGCATTGCGAGGTTTAGTTCTATGATATATAATCAATTGACTTTTCTTCTTGATTCATTGTAATTGTTATTGTAATTTGTTGTCTTTCACATGGCTCGGTAGAGCATTTTGCGTTTTGAGTTTTGATGTTGAATGTGAGTTTATCTCAATATCTATGATTATTCATCGATTAGTTTAGTTTTGTAACTTTGATCTTCAGTTATGGTTTATTTTAGTTTTGTAACTTTGAGGATTTTTTTCCAATACCGAGTATGATGATCATTGATGTTATCTTGAATGCATATCTTTTTTATTTCATTAGTTGATGTTATGTGCGCTTATTGTGTTAATTTTTCTGTGTTGTAGCTTCTCAAAAACATGGGGGAAATCCTTAAAGCAGGTGGTGCAGGCTACTCATCAGTTGTTAAAACCACGATTCTGTATGAACTCTTCTCCCTTCTATTGTTGAGTTTTATCGAGCCTTGGCGAAAATGTAAGATAACTACTTTCCGAACATTTATTCATGCAGGTTAGCTGACTTGAAGGACTTTAAGACAGTCAACGAGATTTATGCGAAATGTGAATTCTTCTGTCATCGCGATTTTCATGTTTTCTTGACATAATTTACATTCTTTGCAGAAGAAGAGTCTAACTATAGACTTATCGTCTGTCTTTAACTTCTGCAATCTGCACATCTATTTCTGTTTAATATATCTGTTTTTCTTCCACTGGTTTCAGATTTCCCTGCACCTTTTCCAGCTCGTGCGACTTATCAAGTTGCTGCATTGCCATTGGACGCCAAGATTGAAATCGAGTGCATTGCGGCACTTTAAGCACCAATTTCAGTAGTATATCTATTTAGCTTCTTCAGCAAACACAGGTCAATGATAATAATGCAGGAGGGACATGTAGTTTACTATTTTTACTTTAGTTTGTTTGCCATGGATGATGAAGCTAGAATTTTGTATTACATAAGTTTGTGCCATGAATAAAGTTGATCTAAAAAGATGGTTGATTTTTGCAAACGGGGAATCTTTTAGGACCTTAATATAGTGGTTCGAAATATAATTTAATTTAAAATATTTTTAATAATATATCATCTGTAAAATATGATAAATCGCCGTTACTTTAAAAAAATATGTCATATGTCATTAAATAAATAAACACGTTATCAATTTTTTATCCTAAAAAATAAGGGAATCAAATTATTATGAATTTGAAATATTGGAGGACCAACTTCATAAATAAGATAAACTGTTAATAAATCTTAATGATAAGATTTCTAAATTTCTTTAATTAACTTTAAATTTTTATTCGGATACTAAGTTTTCAAATTTTTGTATTTACTCTTGAAAAACCTCTATTATTTTTATGAAACAAGTTTTCTTAAAAAGAATTCTATTAATGTAAAATTTTTAATTACATAAAAAAACATCAAATAATTTTGTATACTACTAATTAATTAGTGTGACTCTATTGTGTATTATATTTATGTTATGAAATGTGATTAAAATTATCTCAATCCTACAAAATCAGTTTGTAGGGTGAAAATTATCTCCACTTATAAAGATATGCTTAAGCTATATATTATTCGATGTAAAAATTTTAACACATTCTTTCACGCTCAAGATTAAACATTTGAAACGTAAAAATAAATAGTGGGTGATAACAAAAACCTAATAGTATCTAATGTTAAAAAATGAAGTTAGGTCTAACTGAATTTTAAATTAGACTATTAATATCATATTAAAAAATAAAGTTAAGGCTAACGCAACCTTACAAAATTGGTTAGTTGTAGAGGGAAGATGATGAATACTTATATAAACATAAAAACATATTCAAATAATATATACTTTTAACAATTTACCACAAGTAGCGAAAAAAGATGGGGGCTGAGGGTGCCACTCACCGCTCAAATTATCAAATGTTTTTATTATATAATTTATCTTAAGAAACCTCCTCAATATTAATTTTTTAGTATTATGTTTTAGTATATTATTAACGTTGGTCTGGATTTTTTAAAGTTAGGGCTCATACACAAGTTAGGCTTCAAAATATATAGATTATTCAAAGTATATGTGAAAAGGACAAATTCGGGTTTTCACTTGTTCACCCTCATCCGATGTGCTGGATAAAGTAATACTCAATTTTTTTAATCATTTTTTTATATCATTTACATAAAACTTAAAGTTGGGTGAGAAATTTATTCGAGGTTGTACTTAACACCCCCACATACTTTGGATGAAAGACTATGTTAGCATTTAATTAAAAGAAGAAAAGAAAGATTGTCAAACTAAATTGTGTTTTTCGAATTTTTTAAAACTTTTGTAACATTGCATTTTTTTTATATCGAATATTGCTTATATTTGACACAAATATGGATTTGTAATCTAATTAGTATAAAAAAATTTGGCTATCACAAAATAATTTGTAAAATCTACTAACAATATATGGGGGATATTGTGTTTTTCGAATTTTTTAAAACTTTTGTAACATTGCATTTTTTTTATATCAAATATTGCTTATATTTGACACAAATATGGATTTGTAATCTAATTAGTATAAAAAAATTTGGCTATCACAAAATAATTTGTAAAATCTACTAACAATATATGGGGGATATTGATTTTTTTTTTTTTAAATTAAGTAGAAATGCATGAATTTCTATCAGATTATTTGTAATATCTGATTTAAATCAAGTGCGATATTGAAAATTTGAAAACCCCAATACAATCTTTGGATTTCCATCGCACTTTACAAAATGACCAATATAAGTGGTGGTGGGCTGGTGGCAGTGCATTTTTATAAAATTTGATAGATCTTTTTTTAAATGATAGTTATTTTAATTATTTGTTTATTAATGAGACAAAACATTACATAAAGTAAACATAATTTCAACACAAACTTAACATCACATAAAGTTAACATAAATTAACAATATTTTAACATTAAGTTAACATATAAAAGAATTTGTGCAGTCTCAACCATACAAAAATGTCAATGTTCATTAACTAAAATTATTGGTTTTTATAAGTCTACGTGTTGCCTCTTTGATGTGTGTACTCTGCCTTCATGTTCTCAATGTCTTATTCGACCCACATTATTATTTATCATTTTCTTGCACCTTCACTATAATTTTCTCCCCCAACGATTGATGATCGGAGAAAATAGATAATCACATTTCATCTTTAGTTGAACCATTGACAATTGTTGGCAAAATAAATTCCAATAAGTTTATGTCTACTTGAAGACACAAATGGAGATAACATAAATAGAAAATGTGATTTTTTAAGTTTTGTACAAGGTAACCGATATGGTATTGGATCTATAAGAAATTGGATAACACATATCATGAATGGACATCCACTTATCCCACTCCTAAAAACCTAAGCTAGATATTATTAATGAGCTTTTAACCTCTAAAATATAGTCGTGGAACAATTTGGAATACACACCACTAACTATCTGAATAACCACTAGCTAAGAAAAAAAACAATAGCACGAAAATAACAATTTCCATCAGAATCCACATCTATAGTTTCTTGAATGTAGTCATGCAAAAATAAAGGGAACTATGACAAATAAGTATATCTCGAGTACATAGTAGACAATTGACTTGTGGAAAGTTTTCTATAAGATCTTTGGGATGGTTGACTTGTTGAGTCTCGTAAGACATCAACATGCTCCCAATACAAAGGATCAAGGTGCACATCACCTTTTTGCGCCTTTTTTTAAAAACTTTTTGACCTCTTTTGTGAACTTTAACTTCATAGGTGGCAGACACATAGAAGTTATACAAGGATATGTAAGCTCACACAACTTTTTCTTCAAAACCCCCTGGGTTCAACTTTGAATCTTTACATTCCCCATTTAATGCCAGTTGTCTCTCACTTTTGGCTTAAATAAATTCATAATCTTCAATGTGTATATTTTTCTAAAATATATGAATGGAATCCAAAGGAATGAGTTCCCTTTGTAATTGAAGAGATGCTACTTTACATGCACAAGGGATACCATGAGTTGTCCTTATGAAGCATCCCACATGCAACCTTGTCAACACCTACTCGATTTACTCTTTCAAAATCTTTTGCAATGTGTTGTTTACAACTTCTTAACATACGATTACACAAAATTGCATGAAATGAGTATTATATCAATGCTCGACGTTGAGAACAAATTTTTGAAATGATATTTTGATTGCACCAAGTTGCAACTTCAACATGAAGTTCACCGCATCTCAACTTCTACAAAGGTCTCTTATACTAGTATTTAATTTGTTTTTAAGTCTCCAATAAACACATAAACCCTATAAAAACATTACGTTCAAGGCACCATCGACTGATATAGTCCACTCTAAGGGTGAATCCTTGTCTATTGGCAAGCTATACTCAACCAAAAAATTTGTTTGAGCTTAAGACTTGATGCTTCCTCTTAGGACATATTAGATGTCATATTGTGAGAGTTCCATCGCCTAAGATACCATTATTCCCGCAAAATTTGGTTTCTTTGAGACTTGTCGAACATGATAGTTGGTTTTCACGAGAATTTTATGACCTTAGAAATAGGGTCGAAGCTTTCTCGCCGCAATCACGACAACTATAGTTAGGTTCTCAATCTTTTGATAACATGTTTCAGCGCCTTTGAACATTTTGCTTGCAAAATACGCGAGCTCTTATGCCTTATTTATCTCTTGGACGAGTATTGAGGTTATTTCTTGATCTGTGACTGAAAGATTGATGAGCACTGGCGATCCTTCCCTCAGGTGAGTGAGTATGGGTGAAGACGTGAGTAAGGTTTTTATTTTTCAGTAAGCATCCTTGCATTCTCTAGTGCATTCGAGCATCTCCTTCTTCTTTAGGGTGGGAAGAAAAGGAAAGCCTCATCGTCGAAGCAAGAGATGATACGAGATAGGTCGGCAAGGCGAACTGTAAGTTGTGAACTTCTTTGACCTTTGAGGGGCTTCTCATGTTGATAACATAATGACATTTGTCTGAATTTTTTTCAATTCCTTTCTTTCTCAGCATGAACTCAATAAAATTTCTCGCATGTACCCCGAATGAACACTTGGAGGGATTCAGGCCCATGTTGTACTTCATGACAGACTGTAGGACATCTTCCATGTCTACAACATGGTTATGCCCTTCGGTAGTTTTCACTATCATGTTGTCAACATAGACCTCCATGGTTCGCCCTATCTGGTGGGAAAACGCGATGTCTATGAGTCACTGGTAGGTGGCGCTAGCATTCTTGAGGCCGAATGACATGTCATTGAAGTAGTAGTTATCATGATTTGACATGAACATCATCTTGGGCGCATCCAAGGGATCCATTATGATCTTGTTGTATCCTAAGTAGGCATCCATAAAGCTTAAGGTACGATAGCTAGAGAACACGTTGATCAGGTGGTCAATATCCGAAAGGAGATATGAGTTCTTAGAATAAGCCTGTTTAGATTTGTGAAATCCATGCACATGCGCCACTTGTTCACTGCTTTCCTCATAAGCACTACGTTTAAAAAAAAATTGGATATTTTGTCTCCGTGATGAACCTGACGCTTGATAGCTTGCCTACTTCTTCATTGATGGCGACAGTTTTCTCCTCGCTAAAATTTTGCTTTCTTTGTGCCACTGGCTTGGTAGAATGATTGATGGCAAGGCGATGATACACCACTCTAGATTATATTACTAGCTTGTCTAAGGAAGCCTAGGAAAACAAGTCAACATTTCTAATGAGTTGGTTGACTAACTTGTGCTCTTCTTCTTTGGTAAGTGAGGTGCCTATCTTCATCGCCTAGTGGGCTAAACGACCTATATGGGCTTCCTTTAGGTCCTCCGTGGGCATGAGCCTCTAATTGCCAATGCCTAATATAGGATCCCAACTATCAGTGTCTGCATCCAACACTTCAAGGGGGAACACCCACAAGGGCAAGCTCTTCCTTTCCCATTGTCAGGTGGCTATGGTAATTTTCTTGAGGGCTTTGATGGTTTCCCCAAGTTGTCCCGATTCCCTCATTAGGTAGCGGATACTTCAGAACCAGGTACCAGGTGTAAACAATCGTGCGACGGGTCTGCCAAAAATGATGTTATAGGGCGATAAAACGTCTACTATGAGGTGGTTGACTTCAATCGACTTGGATTTTGATCCCACAATGTAAGGTATTTTGAGGATTAAATGTCTCCTTACTTGTACGTGTTTGTCTGACAAACCTACTAACTATCCTTGGAACACCTTGATGTTACTGGGATCAAGTTGGAGTTTTTTGGAAAGAATCCCAGAATAGGATGTTAGGTGAGCTTTCAGGGTCTATCAATACTCGTTTGATATCCTAGTTATCGTGTTGTATAGTTATGACCATGAGATTGTTATCGTGAGGGAGAATTCCAATGGCGTAGTGCTAGAAAAAGTGATGTTGGCTCCTGAATCTCCCTGGCCAGCTTCGAAAAGTCCTGATAATATTAAGTACACAACCAGAACTTTCTTGAAATATTTCCTCCAGGAGGAGCTGGAGCTTCCTCAGTAGTGAAACCTCCGGCTATGATGTTAACCACAGGTTGTGGAGTTTTGTTGGTCATCTTCAAGAGAAGGTGGTGAAAATGGTAATGACGAATGTGTGATCTAGATTAGTTTTACCAAAGTCTCGCGGTTGACATCATTGTACTTGTCAAAAAGTACAGGATGCTTGATACCCCTAAGCTAGTAGGGGTGATCAGAGACCTTAGTATTTTTCTGGTGGTTTATGACTTCTCTGTGGCAGCGATTGACTATGTTTGGTGGTGTTTATGGTGATGAGAGAGCAAAGTCACATGAGGTGAGAAGCTCTATATCTCTATTGTGTATGTTGTGTGTAATATGAATGTCCCCCTTAATCTTAAGATTGAGGTATTTATAAAGACGTATGAGCCTAGAGTTTTCTTGAAAATGATAATCACTCACATAATCAATAATAGATAATGTGAATTAAATTATTGACCTTGACTTCTCTTTGACAGAGGAACATTTTTTCCGACGTTTCTTATAATTAGGCGAGTAAGGAGCCCTTAGGACAAAGCAATCCCTAATGGCGGGGGTTGCCAATCCTTCCACCCTTAGTACGTTCCTTACAAATATATCACTCTAATTAATAAATAGATTATGGTTATAAAATTTAACATTAATCTTAAATAATTTGATATATACATAAAATATATTTAAAAAATAAATTATAAATATAAACTAAAAACACTAAATAAATTAATGAGAAAATTTTGATATGTTCTAAAAGTGACCGAAAGATGACTCATTAAGTACATCTATCCAGAATGAAATTAAGAGGCAGGAACAAAAGTAAAGTAACCATAATCAATCACAACGGTAAGTAAAATACCCTTCAAACACATTCGTTAATCAAATGTGCCGCACACAAAAGCACTTATATTTTAAATCCAAAATTTCAAGATTAGATTCTCATTCTATTATATTCTTTTCTTCCACGCCAAGAACATTATATCCCTCTTCCAATTAGATCTACTTCTCTCGTTCCTGCTTTTCCAATTGAAGTTGGGCACCGGTTAGAATTCTTACCTTGATTATTTTTTCTATTGAATTCTTGGTTTTGAGTTTGTGATTGATTATAAAAAGTGATTCTTTTAGGAAGATGTTTTATCAAGTTTCATTTGATGTTTGAAGTAGGGTTGAATTCTTTATTTGATTTTTTTGTGTGCAGGTGATTGCTAGGTGCTATCAAGAATCTATATCATGGATGGTGTTGTTGTGAGAAGGGTCATTCCTTCTGATAACAGTTGTCTCTTTAATGCTGTTGGGTAAGTTAGCACCTTCTTCCTTGTAGCACCGACACGCACACCGGACACGACAGACGACAATATCGGCGATAATCTAAGATAATGATAGTGATTTAATGTAACTTTTATGTGTCAGGGTCGTGTTGGTGTCGTACATTGAGACGCTATCGGCAATAATCTAAGAAAATGATAGTGGTTTAATGTAAATTTTATATGTTAGGGTCGTGTTGGTGTCGTAGAATTGGACGTGTTAGGATGTGTCTTTCAACCTATAGTGTAAATTGTGTACAAATGATTCCAGTTGTAATGTCTTTTTCTCTCTATTTTGTTATGTTTGTTTGATTCAGATATGTTATGGATCGTGACCAAACTAAAGCTGCTGAGTTGAGACAGGTAATTGTTCTTTCTTTTTTGTTATATTTGCTTTGAATATGCAAAGTGCATAGCAGATGCAGGTTTATTATATTGTTTCATTTCAATGCATATTGTGTCAATTTGGTTGTTTTTTAGTTGAAAAGAAAACCAAATATAGGCTAATCTTTTTGTAACCTTCATTTCTGGTTTGTTAATGTGTTACACTGAACTATTCAATGTTATATCCAACTTAGCTCAATGTATTTGGCCTTGAATATCCCTTTGCTTGTTTCCATTTGAATTAGCTTCTGAAACAAAAATTCATTACAAAATTTTTGTATTTGTTGTTTCTGGGGATGTAAACCACCACCGAATTCAAGTTAGGTAGCTGAAATGGAGGTGGGCTTTAGGAATTTTATGTGACACAAAGGTAGCGTTCAAGTTGAAGGAAAAATTTTATCGGACTGCGGTAAGACCTGCGATGTTGTACAAGACAATGTTGGGTGGTTAAGAATCAACACGAGAATAAATTCTAGTATAGATGAGGATGTTGCATTAGATGTGTGTTAAGACTAGATATGATAAGATAAGAGATGACAATATTATAGAGAGTGCCGGGTAACACATGTAGTTGAAGAGATGGTAGAAAATAAACTTAGTTGGTTTGGGCATGTAGATAGAAGACCTATAGATTCTGTGGAAATGAGAGTAGATCAGATGAAGAGGAGTCACACAGTTAGAGGTAGAGGAAGACAAAAAAAAAACTATAAGAGAAGTTACTAAGAAAGATCTTGAGATTAACGCTTTGGATAGAAGTATAGTCTTGGATAAAACATTATGGTGGAAGTTGATTCATGTAACCGCCGACCCCACTTAATGAGATAAAGCTTGGTTGTTGTTGTTGATGATGTTTTTGAGATAAATATTCCTCTTGATTTTCAGTAAAAACACTCTTATTTAGCTTTTCAATTAATAAAACCATTACACCAAATGCAAATGATGCATGACGTACATAGATTTGTCTGTTTAACTAGACTCAAACCCATGGAATGTAGTTGGTTTTTAGTTGTAGTTCACATAAAAAGTCTAGAAGCATCTTTAAATAAAGAATGCACATTTGAATGTTTTCTTTTGCAAAAAACTAAACTTTAAACTTTGAACTAGTACCATATAAAGCTTTGCCTCTATGTTTATCATCTTCTCTAGTTGCATGCTTAGGTAGATCGCCATATTTTGGCATCAACCCATCATAAATATCTAACTATCATGCATCAAGCCCCATGTTATTGTACGGAATGCTGTTACTAAATTGCAAATTACATTGGCTATCATTTAAGACTTACGAGTGAAGCGGAGTTTTTATACCATTGTATTGCCTAAAATATCTGTTCACTTTGGTGTTATCAGCATCATTTATTCACGTATTGCGACTTAACATTTTGTTACATTTTACATGCTAAAGGTTATAGCTGCAACCGTAGCAAGTGACCCTGAGAAATATTCTGAAGCATTTCTTGGGAAACCAAATTCAGAGTATTGTAACTGGATTCTTGACCCAGAGAAGTGGGGAGGTTAGTTTACATGTCTACCGAATCCTTGCGGTTTTAAATTATAAAAACTTTTATAGGCAATTGTCATTAATTTTGTCGATTCGGATCTGTGGTTGATGATCATAAAATAAGTATCAAAGGGCGGTTTAAACTCTTCAGTAAAGCAATATTAGTTTTTCATTATTTTGGACATTGATGTGCTAATGGTGCTATATTCTGTTGTGAAGGTGCAATTGAACTCTCAATATTAGCAGATTATTATGGACGTGAAATTGCAGCATACGATATCCAGACAACACGGTGTGATTTGTACGGTCAGGTTAGACTTTTCTGCAGTTCTACGTGCTCTCACGTTTTGTCAACCCTTGTAACTGAGCTTTACCGTCCAATTTTTTGCCTAATACTTCATACAGGAAGGTAACTATTCTGAAAGGGTGATGCTCATATACGATGGTCTCCACTACGATGCTTTAGCTGTATGTAATATCATACACCAGAAATTACTACTTGTCTATTGATTCTCTTTTCCGCCTCACATTTTTATTTTGGTTTGAGAAGTGAATTACTGCTACACTAAACAAAAAACATTGTTTCGTAGGTATTTTCAGTTTTTATGTTGCCTAATGATGTCTATGTGTCAGATGTCTCCCGTTGAAGATGCTCCCGAGGATTTTGATCAGACCATATTTGCTATACAAAATTCCAGAAGCATTGGACCTGTTGAACAGCTTGCGCTAAATTTTATTAAAGACCAACATAGGTATAGTCTTCAATTATTATTTGAATCTTTATCATCACGTAGAGTTGCATCTCCGAATTATTTATGCTTCCAGTGTCCCTTACCTGTGCTAATGCTATGGATGCTCATTCCCAGGAAACGGAAATTCACCGACACTGCCAACTTCACTCTGCGGTGTGGGGTATGCCAAATTGGAGTTATTGGTCAGAAGGTCATTCCTCAGTACCTGATTCTTTGCTTTATATATTATATAAGAACGAACCATCAATTCAGTTCCAAAACTACTTTAAAAGAAATTTCAAAATACTCTCTTAAAACTGCAAATTCTTCTGTCACATTCACATTGCTATTTCTGCGACTAAATTGGTGATTCACTCATTATATGTTACTTACATGTCTTAGTTTGATTCTGATTTGAGTTCTGGTTTTTGTTCGAATGTATTCAGGAGGCAGCGGAGCATGCTCAAGCAACCGGTCATGTTAATTTTCAAGAATATAGATGATACACTATGAGTGTGAGGCATTAACTTGTGTATGTATAGTCTCAGTTGATTCGAATGAGTGTCACTGTTGTTTAAAGCTGTATTGTATGCATATCTTCGACTTTTGTATTTTTGTTTTAACTGAATAATCTGCATGTCTTGGAATTCTTGTGGCAAGTTGTGTTGTACGAATAATCTGCATGTCTTGGAATTCTTGTGGCAAGTTGTGTTGTACGAATAACCGCAGTTCCTTGCAATCGAAAAAGTTCTTCACTACAAGTCTTCACTCATAATAAGTTATCTGCCAGTTTGCAGTCTCATTATGGAAATGGTTTTCTAACACTTGTTTTATTCCTCTCAACATTACAAATTTGAATGACTGTTTCAGATATGATTAAGTATGCAAGATTAAGAGAGAACTCTCTAGAAAAAGTATTGGTGAGGTTTTACTTAAAAGAAAGTTGCAGGTGTTATATATATGTAGGAAAACTGGATTGGGCTTTCAATAAATTGCTAGATCTTTATGAAATTGTTAGGGTAATATTTTTGAGAATTGCCCTTTTCATCCTTATATATGCTCCTCCATCACTATAAAATTTCAAAAAATTTCTTAGAGTTTAGAGATGTATCTCTGAATACATCTATTTTTAGTCATTTTCAGATGAAATTGATGGGGTTTATTATGCCAAAAATTTAATTCCGAGATGCATCTTCGTATGTACTAAGGTACGTCCAAAGATGTATTTCCGTACACATCATGTATTTTCGGATGCTTTTATTTTATATGTATTCTCGTAGCCTCTTGTCTCAGGCATCCACTTCACAGGGTCATTAGTCCCCATATGATGCAGTAGACCCTAAAGTCTCTAAAGCCCCTAAAGGTTAGGAGGAAGCAGCTATCCCATTAGAGAGTTATCTAGGAGGCTTTAAGAAATTTTGGTCATTTATGGCAAGCTCACAATTGTGAGGAATCCTGTTTGGTGGTATTTTCAGTGTGCAAAGAGCAACCTCACGTTAGGTGAGAAACTCTGTATTTTTTGGGATTTTTTTGGATGTACTTCGAATTGTATCTTCAAACCTAGAGTTGAGGTATTTATAAATGCTTATGGGTTTTGATTTTGGAGCTCTTGAGAAGTGGTAACTGCTCCACCTTGACTATGGAAGCTTTTTCGCTGCCTACTTCTTAAGGGATCATGACCAGGACTTCTTGCACATGCGATTATGGGTTATGTACACTTAAACCCCCATGTTTATCATCTGGGTAAGTAGCCAGCGGAGCAGAGGTTATGTATGGGCGCCATTTTCTAGGGCAATCGGCTTACGAGGCTTGACCCTATATCGCCTTGTCATGGGCCTTTACAAATATATCACTACATCATTTGAACCAACATTTGATTTCTCATTGACTAGGTTGACAACATTATGGTACATCATATCTATAATCATTGCACGTAAAAGAAACACAATCAAAAAATCATTCACACTGATTAGAAAACACCCTCTATGAAAAGGTTTCAAATGTTCCTAAATGAACCTTCTAGGTGATATTAACATTACCAGCACATGAAAAACCAGAACATGCATTAAAGGGAAGAGATATAAAAAACATTACCAGTAATTTAGAACAATGACTAGGTTGATGAGGTCAAAAGCAGATTAATTTTGTGACTAAATACAATCATTTAATAGATGGTAGATGTTTTTAGAGGGTTTAAGAAAATATGATATGGGGTATTGAATTAGATTTGAAAATTTTGATCTCACACACACTGGGAGGAAGCTTCTGGACATGATGTCTCCTCAAAGAAATAGCTTTTATTGGTCGACTTAAACGCGTATATGTCGACGACCTATGTAGTAGTTTTCACACTAGAAACTCAAATTTTGATGCGTGGATCTTTCCTAAGTAATTTCTAATCATTTCCAAACATGTTTATATGCACCCTAATGCTAAGAAGCACAATACACATCTAGAATTTGGTTGATATCGTCCAATATACGAAAATTCTAAAGTTTATCCTAGTTTTGACAACATTCAAAACATAGTCAACCAGAATGATGCACTCACAAGATGAGTGTTGCAGCATATAAAATTGCATGACTCGAGCTGTAATTGGTAGTTTAGTTCTCATTATTAATGGTTTAGCATGATATTGAAGATAATTGACTAATGACTTGGCTAAACTGTTTTGTGTAAGGACATGAGGAACATGATGTTTAATAGTAATTTTAGTTGACATGCAATAATTGTTAAATGATTCAGATGTAAATTCAGAGACATTATCAAGTCTAATTTTCTTTATAGTACAATTAGGGAATTAATCCCTTAGTTTAATTACTTGCGCAAGAAATTATGCAAATACCATATCATGACTTGACAGTAAGCATACATATGACCATATACTATATGCATCAATTAATACCATAAAGTACCTGAGTGGCCCCGACGGTGGATGGATAGGTTCACATGTATCGCTTTGAATTCTTTCCAGAAACGCAAATGATTTTGTCTGAACCTTACCAGACGAATGCTTTGTTATTAGTTTGCCAAGTGAGCAAGCTTCTCATGGTTTATCTTCTTTTGTAAGTTTTAAACCTTTCAATGGATGGCCATGGGTACTTTCAACTATTGTATGCATCATTTTTGAACCAGAGTGACCTTAACGGTCATGCCATAAAGTTACAATTTTGAGATCTACTTTTACTACTAAATTAAATTCAATTTCATGTGTATTTGTATAGTGTGATCCAGAAGGCAACTTCGCTAGTTTTTCTAAAGTTTTATTCTTTTCCAAAACATTAATAGTAATATAATTTATTTCATATTGTTTTTAGTTGCATTTTCAGTATTATATCCTTGACGATATATGTCATTAAAACTCAACAAATTTCTCTTTGATTTTAGAGAGTATAAAGCATTGTTAATGACAAACTTTTAGAAATATGAATATAACATTACTCGTTCCTTCAATTAAATATGTGGGATCTGATATTGTATTTATTATACCTTTAGTAGGATTTATTTTATTAAAATATTTCTTACTTTTAAGGGGAGAAACGATAGTTTCACTATCCGGAATGCAAGTGTCTTTGACATGTTCCATGTCTAACCTTCTTAAAATAGAAACAAGACTGAAGAACGAGTAAATCATAACATATTTAAAATTATTATTCCATGCAAGCATTGAACATTACACACCATTCTACACACATATTCTTGAGTTGGCAAATAATGCAAATATAGAAGTAATATAAGCACATCATACATTATTTAAATACATATTTTTAAGTAGTTACTTAATCCATTTATCATTCAATGAAATCACCAACCTCAAGATAGGTAGTATTATTTTCAGGTTCAATTTCATTAAAGTTTACTTCCTTTCCCTTTCCCCTACAGATATCTTGTTTCTTTGACACAAATGTTACAGTGTTCTACATGTCTTAGACTACAACCTTTCTTTCAGTATCTATAACATATATCATCATGATTCCTCGAGGGACCCTCTTACATATAATTACCATTACCTTGACGATTCCTATTAGTTTAGTCATATTTGTGAAACCTATAACTATTCACACAATCTCGACCACGACCTCGACAACAAAAGTGATTTCGACCATGATATTTGCCTCTACTATGACCATCAAATTGAGCATAATAACCATATATTTTAATACGATTATAGCCACCACACCCCTTGATTAGTTATTATGGCATTTATCTCAGGATATGCTATTGTTCATATGGGATGTGACTGATGGTTTTTTATAAGGAACTTATTATTTTGTTCTACTATTATAAGGGTTGTAAATAAATTAGAATACTCAAAAATTTCTCTCATTCAATATTGTTGTTGCAACAATACTTGGGATGCATGAAAAATTGAAAATGTTTTTGTCTAACTTTTCCTCTTCAATTATAACTATGCCACAAAATTCTAGTTGTGTTATAATTTGGTGCATGGCAGAGTTATATGCAACAACACCTTTATAATCTTGGAACCTTAATTTGTTCCACTGATCCATCAATGAAGACAACAAGACTTTCCTTTGATATCCAAATCTTGTCTTAAGTTTGTTTCTCAATATCATGAGATTTTTTCCATTTGAGTATTATGTTTGTAATCCATCATCAAGGTGATGCTTGATTATCTAATTTACTTTCGAATTTTTCATTGTCATTTCCTTTGGATCAACTACCGATTTTCCTGAATTGTCTCCTTCAAGGATTTTGTCGAGTCTTTCACATGCGAGGTACTCAATTAAATTGTTGTTCCAAGTTATGTAGTTGTTCATAGTTATATTTAAAATTGTGAATTGATGCTTAACGTTGTACATGATTATATCTAGAATTTAGATGAACATAATCAATATTTAATGTATAAACTAAAAAATCTATTCAATAACAACGATTACAAAAATGATGAACGTGTTTTATTCAAAAACCTCTATCAATAAACCAAGTTAAGACTAGTAATGATAAAATTATAAATATCATTAATGTTATGTAATCTTTACCTAATTCTTCTTGCTTGATAATACCGATAAGGAACAAAATAATGACAAGTAGAACGATGAGCAAAAGAAAGCATTTATCCATTTGAAAAATATGGGTAAATATTTTGAGAATTATGTCAAAGTTATGAAAGAAATTGAAGTGTTTATAGAGATAATTTTATAAAATGACCGTTATAGTTACCGTTGGAAAAAGGAGAGAAAGGAAAAAAAAAGTGTATTAAATATCATCTAGCTGTTACAAGTGTTAGAGATGATTATAAGATAGCATATATGATGAATGAACACACGTGATAAAATACATTAGCAATTTAAATGATATCAACCGATTAATTTTTTTTCGTGAAGCAATATTATAGATGGGGATCTTAGTCCTCCATTGAATATGAAAGTTAGTATTTATAGATGATGTTTTATACCTCCATTAAATATAAAAGTTATTATCTGCATATGGATTGTAGACATTCGTTAAATATAAAAGTTATTATTTGCATATGAGGTTTTAGACCTCCATTAAACATAAAAGTTATTATTTGCATATGAGGTTTTAGACCTCCATTAAACATAAAAGTTAGTATTTGCATATGACATTTTATACATTCATGCAAAATTTCTATAATAATAGTCACACTTATTATAAAACATTTGAAAAGTTGTCAATTTTCTATAACAAGAGGTACATCAATAATGACGATAATAGTCATTGTGGTTATAAATCATTTGGCGGGTTGTCAATTTTCTATAACTGAGATTAATAATAATAATAATAATAATAATAATAATAATAATAATAATAATAAAATGATAAGTATAGAAGATGTGCCTAGTGTAGTAATAAATTCGATAAAAACGATTGTGCTGATAATGTATTAAGAAAAACTGAATTTTAAATATGGATAATGCTAACGCGTGCCTTAGGGGCACAAGTTAAGAAACTTAATTATATTAAATTTGTATTGAAAAAAAATTGAAAATTAATTTTATATTTTTATTAAACTCTATGCACAATTTTTAAAACAAATTTTTTTAATTTAGTTATTAACTTGTGCCTCTAAAGTATAAGTTAGCATTACTCTTTAAATATTTTTTTATTAATATTTGTGAATTAATATGAGAGGTGAGAGGAACAAACAACAACCATTAGATCAAATTAATAAGAGAGAAAAATTAATAGTCACATTACTGAATAAGTTTAATCGTAAAGTAGTTTGTTCCTCTCATCTCTCATTTAAAATTCCTCTCACTTAATATGTCTTTTATATATATATATATATATATATATATATATATATATATATATATATATATATATATATATATATATATATATATATATATATATATATATATATATATATATATATATATATATATATATATATATATATATATATATATATATATATATATATATATATATATATATATATATATATATATATATATATATATATATATATATATATATATATATATATATATGTATGTATGTGAGAAAAGATAGGAAAAAAGTACGATGACATTACTTATATCTTTTTAAAAAGTTGGTGTGTATTTACATGAATCAAATGGTGTACACCATGAAAACTATCTTATGTCTCCCTTCCAACCTGGCTTCACTAATGGTAAAAGGATTCACGATAATATCATTGTGGCTCAAGAGATCTTACATAGCATTCATCGTATCAGGGGTAAAATTGGGTGCTTTGTGATCAAGGTTGACCTTGCTAAAGCTTATGACAAGCTGAATTGGAATTTCCTTGACAAAGTCATTTATGAATTGGGCCTTCCTGATATGTTGAAGACCATTATTATAGAGGTTGTTTCTAGTGTCAAGATGTTTGATCTTTGGAAAGGCCAGCCTGACACCTATTTTGCTATTATGCAAGGTCTACGACAAGGTGATCTTATCTCTCCCTTCCTCTTTGTCTTATGCATGGAAAAGCTTTCTCATTTGATTTTTGATGTTGTGGAAGAAGGCACCTGGAATAGTATTAACACTGGCAGAAGTTGGCCTAATATTTCCCACTTGATGTCACAGTGGGAGTTATGTGAGATTGGCAACGGCGAATCGATTAATGTCTTGAATAACTGTTGGGTTGAGCCAAGTTTATTCCTTCATGACCATTTCATCAACAGGTTGACTACTCAGAGCCCTCTTACTGTTTCTGCTATGGTGAATGCTGATGGGGAATAAGACTGGTTCAAGCTTAAGCTTATTTCTCTTCTGATATCCTCGAGAAAGTTGCTTACATTCGTCCGCCGTAGAAAGATTTGGGTCCTGATGTTTGCACTTGGAGTAGAACGAAAAATGGCACTTTCGCAATTAAAATTGCGTACGTTGCTTTTATGGAATCTGATAGCAACGCTCAGTATGATAGGTGGCAAAAAAAAATTGAAATTTAACACAGTGAGAAACAAAACGTCATCGTTTCCGTTTCTAAAAAAAATTGAAAATTAAAATTGCGTATGTTGCCGTTTCTATCCTTTTAGTAAAGTGCAGTGTATAGTGATAAGTTGGACATTTTAGTCTTTCTCACTTGAAGCTAACATAGTGAGAAACAAAACGTCATCGTTTTACCAGTCACAACCAAGATTGGTTCTTCTTGCCGTGAACGAATCCTCATCCTCTTTCTCTCTCACTCTGACAACCACTGAAGCCCCTCTCTCTCTATCTCTCTCTCTCACTTGGGTACGTATCTTCATTCTATTCTTCTTTCTTAACCTAATTAAACTTTGTTTCTTATTTCCCAATTCAATTTCGCCCCTTTACGGTTTTTTTCCCTCATTTTCGGTTCAAATTTATTTATTTGTTATCAAGATTTTATCTTTATCATTTATCAATTGTTTTCTGGACATTGATTCATGTAATTTATTGAAGGGTTGAAGATGAGAATTTGTGGAGCAGGTACGAGGTTCATATTGGATTTCATTTTATTTCCCTTTTACCTTTCTACAATGTTTTATTAACAATTGTCAGTATCAAGTGAGCTTGTTCTTAGTTTCTTTAGTGTGTGTAAGTAAATGTGATGCTGTTTCAATTGATAAAATAAAATATCAATTTATTAGTACAATCTTTGAGACAATTTTGATATCAATTTTGATGCATGTTTGCAAGTTGGTTTTTTGGAGGGGTCGATTATGTAGCACTAAATTTTGTTGTGGATATTTTTAAAAACCCTCCAAAGTCTTTCCCTGCAAACTCCTTCCGAAACCAACTCGCAAACAGACCCTTAAGAGTTTGAAATGATCCTTGATTAATGTTTAGCAAAATTGCTCTATGATTCACTAAATAAGTGTGATATACTTATAGCAATTGGCTCCTAAGCCCTTTCTAGGTTTTGTAATTTCTTTTAAATGCAGCACCCTATTGTTTCTTGATAGCATAAAACTCTTTTGCACTGATAGTAAGTTCATATTGAATGTTTATTTTCAACCTGTCTGTTATTTGTTCATAATTTATCAGCTCCTGTGTTTTTTAACGGCATTTTGAAAATGGATCTTATGTTTTTGAAGGGTATATTGAAATTGATTATAATTTCTAGATAAGGATTCTGATGTTACTCAAACTCTTACCAGCAACCAGCAGCGTCTGTAGCACCGCGTCTAATTCCCTGCAAGTGTTTGTTTCTTCTTCCTTCTCTACTCCAGCTAAAACCAAGTTCCTACCTTCACTTTCTAGATTTTCTGTCAAGCGATCTTGCTTCTCTTCACAGACCCGACCCCATTCTACTGTGACCAAGCCCTCCATGAACCTTCTGAACAAACTTGGATTTGGCAGTGGAAGGTCATCAGAGAATCTGGATTCAGCCATTCCTCAGGGACCAGATGACGATATACCAGCACCAGGCCAGCAGTTTGCTCAGTTTGGTGCTGGCTGCTTTTGGGGTGTTGAATTGGTCTTCCAGAGGGTGCCGGGAGTGAGTAAGACAGAGGTTGGTTACACCCAGGGGCTTGTGCATAATCCTGCGTATGAAGATGTGTGTGCAGGAACCACAAACCACTCAGAGGTTGTAAGGGTTCAATATGATCCCAAACAATGTGCCTTTGAAAGTCTGCTCGATACATTCTGGTCTAAGCATGATCCTACTACGCCAAATCGTCAGGTACGTAAGAACTTGTTTGTGTTAGAAACTTTATCAGGTTACTCAGCTTCCATGAATGGTAAGAGCTTAGCAATAGTGACATCTGGATCTTTGTATTTGACAGGGGAACGATGTAGGAACACAGTACAGATCTGGAATATACTACTACACTCCAGAACAAGAGAAAGCGGCTAGAGAATCTTTGGAACAACAAGAGAAGCAACTGGGCAGAAAGATTGTTACTGAGATCCTTCCTGCTAAGAAGTTCTACAGAGCTGAGGAGTACCACCAGCAGTACCTTGAGAAAGGCGGTCGATTTGGTTTCAAGCAATCTGCTGCTAAAGGATGCAATGACCCAATTCGGTGCTATGGTTAATTCTTGATTAAGCAAAAATGTGAGTTCATCCTAAAAGACCAATATGATATGACACTGTATTAGAGCTTGAAAATGGGCATAGCCTTGAATTCTAGTTGTATAATTTTGTTGTAAAGTAGTATTGTCATGGCAACATACAAGCCAATAAATAAAAACAAAATGTGTTTTCAGAATTGTGACCATTAGTAGGTTCAAAAACATCAGAGACACCTTATGGTGTCCCAAATTTGGGTGTTGAAATATTGTTTCTCGTATTTTATGGTCAAATACTGTTACATGTATCATATATATCACTTGTAAAATACTATGTATGCAGCTATTATAGTATCTATACAAGTTACAACCAATATTAGTACTATAAGATGATTATTATATTGTCTGTAAGGGGATGAACATGGTCTGTCAGCATGGTATATAAGTCAATTTTTTATTTATTATTATGGGCATGAAGTTCCAGTTGCACGTGTGTTCTTGACTTCTTCTCATTTCCTTCTGTGCAGACAGAGCACACACGTCTCTAGCTGATCTTACGCCTGCTACACTGTCTATACTTCATGATGACTATTTATAATAATACTTTTTTAATAATATAATTATTACTCTCTTCTGCATAACAATTTTTTTATAAAAAAAAAGAAACATGCTAACCAATGTCAAAATCTAATCTTAAAACATAATGTACCTCTGTTTCTGCTCAAGCTTTCACGTGCGATACTTTTTTTTCTTTCCATACCTAGATGCAATCGTTCTCCAATGAATTTACATAACAATCTCTAGACTTTTTGTACACCATCTTCGAATTTGGTTCCACTGCACAACAAGCATGTGAACGAGTGATAAATATTTTTAGGATTACAAAGATTTTAGTGACGTCCACTTGAAAAACAAATTCCCTTGAGTTCATATGGATGACTATCCCAACATTTTAGCATAATGTGGTTACATGGCTGGGAGTGCGTAAAGCCTCCAAAATCCCTCCTACAAACCAACAATCAACTAAAGAAAAGGCAAATTAGAAGATCCCACCTACAAACCAACAATCAACTAAAGAAAAGGCAAATTAGAAGCTCAACAATCTTTTGCTTTCTATTATTCTTTTTCTGACTCATGCCTGAAAATCTAGAATACCAACTAAGGTTTACATGGCTTGGATTTTATGGTATTCCTTTCGGTCCTGATGAGCATGTACAACCATATCGGAGTTCATATTTTTATTTTCATGGATTTGGTTATGATTATGTAAGAGATGACTATAATCATAACAATAAATATAAAACATGAAATTCATTTCCTTTATTTATCAAATGATATTACATATTACACTCAGATTACTAATGTCATATTATGGCTTCCATTTAAATGAACTTCCGCAATCGCCATACATTTGACAGTTTGTGTAGTCATTATCAGCATAATTTCTGCATACCCTAATCTCTAATAACTCAGAGGAGCTAGGGGAACACTGAAATTCTATCACATAGTTAGTTCCAATGTGCTTACCTATGGCCTTCTCAAAGTCTGCTGTCTTCTGATATTCAGTGGTATTTAGAGAAATACCATCTATTTGAAGTATATCAAAAAACTGTAACCCCTTCCAAATATTATTTGCTTGATCAAAATACTAGGTTTAGTTAAATGTCGAGTATGAGGAGGTTCCATGATCAAACCACTCATTTTCCAAAATTTAAAATTGTCTCCTTCTAAATTTGGCCATGAAGTAGGAAGTTCAGCTAATGTTGTTGCAGAAATCTGATGAAAAACAAATAAATCAAGTCAAGTATAATTGAGTAGAAGAAAGAACAGAAAAAACTTTATATTTATAATAAATAAACTCACCATTTTCCTGATTAATCTTGTCTTTGCTGGATCATTGGAGCACCTACTTGGCTTAGAACCTGTTGTGTTTGCAGCCACATGCCATGAAGGCTGAACCTGCTTAGTTTCTGGACACAACTTTTTCCTTGTGTGAATATGTATAGTTGAATTTTTTTTTTGAATAAGTATATTGAACTTTTTTTTGAATATGTATAGTTGAACTGATATAAGTTAAACTTATTTTTTTTTCTTTTTGGTTACAGCCTATTCTAATTCTTAATAAACTTATTCTTATTATTTATAAAGTTGACATATATTGAGTAAGGTAATTTTTTTACGACTTACTATTTATCACAATGGACTCTATTTAGAGTTGCAACCTATCATATACTTTTAGTAAGTTCATCTATTTTTTTGTTTCATATATAAATTTTTTAAATATATATTAATTACAAAGAAAAGAAACAAGCTCCCAATCAATAATTCCCGGATACAAAAATTTTCATGGTCACCATTTGATATTGGATGCACTATCAGCTGTTGTTTTATGCTTGACACTGCCTAATATTTGTAATATATTTTAATTATGATCAGAACTACTACACGTGCATGCTCAATTGGTCATGGAATAATGTTGGATGGCCTAAATGTTTCAGACAAACCGAAACAAATCGGCACGAGGTTAGAAACTCGATTTTGGTTTTTATGCTGCTATTAATTGACCATGCTAGTGAAGATGACTTATAACACTCATGTTGTTACTTTTTTTTCATTTCTCATAGCTCATCACAGTCAACCAAACGACCTCGTGGAAGAGCGCGCAAATTTAACACGCAACAACATCAATCTCAACCCAATTTGGCTTTGCAAATTCATCATTTCCAATAACCAACTACACCTTCACATCTCATTGAACCAGCCTTGAATATCACACTGAAGTATACAACTTATAACTTCACTTTAGCAGCTCTAGGTAGTTACGGTGTGGTCTGTTTCAAACACATGATGCATACATTTTCACAACGCAATGTCCATCAGCAATTTATGTTATCTTACTTAGATTTCTATTTTGAAAACTGAGATATTACAAGGCTGGTTCATATTGATAGCAACTTATACCTATTTTTGTGTCCTTTGATGATATCCTGACGACCTACATTCTATTGATATATGTTTAACAAATTTTCATGGTCTGCGTCTCATATTGGATACTTTTCCAGCAATGATACGACTGTTAAAACCCGTCGAGGCCGTCCAAGAAACTCTTTGGGAGTTCCACATCTAGCAATGAATCTAACAAGACCTGTTGCCGAAGTCCATTATGATACGGTTCGTGATACATATGTCATGCAACCTAGATCCTCACCGTATTATAGGTACATTGAAAATTTACTAGCTTTTCAAATTTTAAGAGTTAATTACAACAACATCTTCAATGCATATGTAATACTGTCTTAATCAAATTGCCAAAGGTATATAAAAGGCTCTAACAAATTTCTTGACATGGACCAACATTCTGCCTTGCACTTCGACAATTCTAAACCAAAATTCCAACAACCCTGTTCTACTTTTACACCATGTGCAAATGAAGATTCCAATGGCGATACGGAATGTGACTCTGACATAGATCCTTTTGCAAGTAAGTTATATAAAATTAATGTTCAACCTATATTTCTTAGTTTTAGTTTTGAATTTCCTACAACAACTACACAGTACTTTATTCATGTCATTTTAATCTTTCTTAATACACATTCAATTGTCATGGCTACTGTTTTCAATTCTCTTCAACTTTTTCATAACTTTCTAATTTTAACGATTTTTTTTCCACTTTCTTTTAGATCATCAATCTGACAATGACTCCAATTATGATTTTGAGGAATACCATGCACCTTTTTCTATTAATGGGAATTCTCAAACATCGTCTGAAGGTTGTTCTTAATCTAAATGCATACTTATATATTGGCATTACTTTTCTTATATAACACGTTATATTTTTTTGTAGAATATTACGACATTGGTGATCCTTTAATTGAGTGTCGTTATTGTAAAGCCATGATGTGGTATCAAGAGAGAATGAATAAAAGTTCTCATTCAACTAATCCCAAATTTTCATTGTGTTGTGGCTACGGAAAGGTCGAACTACTGTTACTCAAACAACCCCCTCCTTTACTAGCACATCTCCTTTTTGATGAAGATATATTTAGCAGAAAGTTTCAACAACAAATTCGCATTTACAACATGATAGTTGGTGATCTTGATACAACAGAAATGAGGGATATCATCATGCAAACTAAAGGTGGAGAGTTACAAAGAATTAACGAGCTCCATGCAAGTTACTTGGCGTATCAATATCCTTTAATTTTCCCTTATGGAGAAGATGGTTATAGACCAAACATAGCTCATCGAGACTTAGACATATTCCAAGACAACAAGAGAAATAGACTTACAATTAGAGAGTGGCTAGCATTTCGCATTCAGAACAGATCATTTGAAGCTAAAACTTTGTTGTCTTCAAGAAGGCTTTTTCAACAATTCTTAGTTGATGGTTACACAATGTTAGAGTCCAAAAGACTTCAATGGATTCGTGAAAATCAACCCAAATTAAGGGTGTCGAAATACAACAGTATTACTGAAGTGGGTGAACAAAGTGAAACACATGGTTCTTCAACAGGAAAAAGAGTGGTTTTACCTTCTACTTATGTTGGTGGAAGGAGGTTTATGGATCAATTGTACTATGATGGAATGGCTATTTGTAGCAAGGTAGGGTTTCCTGATTTATTCGTAACATTCACTTGCAATCCAAATTGGCCTGAAATACAAAGGTTACTTCGCCCTCTTGGACTAAAACCCCAAGATCGTCCTGATGTGATTTCGAGGATATTTAAAATCAAGTTTGATCAGCTTCTATCAGATTTGACAAAAAGGGGAGTGTTAGGCAAGGTGCTTGCATGTATGTTTTCTTTTCTCACCGTAACTTTTCAATTTGTTACACAATATTACAATTTACTTTTTACTACTTTATTTTTTTGTAGATATGTACACCATTGAGTTTCAAAAGAGAGGATTGCCACATGCACGTATATTGATATTCTTGCATCCTTCTAACAAATATCCAAGACCCGAAGATATTGACAGGATTATAAGTGTTGAAATCCCTGATCCTACGAAGGAACCAAAGCTATACA